GAAATGGGCTTTACATATTGCTATCCTAAGATGCCTAGAGCCATTTTGTGCAAATCTGTTCCCCTCATATCTGCATTACATAACATTATCTAGTTTATTAACACCTAGTAGTTAGTAAAGTTAACTATTGTCAGTCAAAGTGATCTAAACAGACACCAATACATCAGCACAAGATTCCAAAAGGTTGAGGAAATTAATCCAAAATAGTGACAATGCAAAGTTGAAAACTGCATTCATTTATACCTGCAAAATCGTCAAGCATCCCCCTGATCTATTTTGGCCATGTTGCTTTTAATCCCATTTACAGATGGGAACTTTATACAGAGGGCCTTTGATAGTCAGATGACTATGCAATACAGAGGACCTTTGGTTGTCAGGTGATTGTGCAATACAGAGGACCTTTGGTAGGCAGGTGATTGTGGAATACAGAGGACCTTTGGTTGTCAGGTGATTGTGGAATACAGAGGACCTTTGGTTGTCAGGTGATTGTGCAATACAGAGGACCTTTGGTGGTCAGGTGATTGTGGAATACAGAGGACCTTTGGTTGTCAGGTGGTTGTGGAATACAGAGGACCTTTGGTTGTCAGGTGATTGTGGAATACAGAGGACCTTTGGTAGGCAGGTGATTGTGGAATACAGAGGACCTTTGGTTGTCAGGTGATTGTGCAATACAGAGGACCTTTGGTTGTCAGGTGGTTGTGGAATACAGAACCTTTGGTTGTCAGGTGAGAGAGGACCTTTGGTTGTCAGGTGGTTGTGGAATACAGAGGACCTTTGGTTGTCAGGTGATTGTGGAATACAGAGGACCTTTGGTAGGCAGGTGATTGTGGAATACAGAGGACCTTTGATTGTCAGGTGATTGTGGAATACAGAGGACCTTAGATAGGTGATTGTGTAATACAGAGGACCTTTGAGAGTCAGATGACTATGCAATACAGAGGACCTTTGGTTGTCAGGTGGTTGTGGAATACAGAGGACCTTAGATAGGTGATTTTGGAATACAGAGGACCTTTGGTTGTCAGGTGATTGTGGAATACAGAGGACCTTTGAGAGTCAGATGACTACGCAATACAGAGGACCTTTGGTTGTCAGGTGATTGTGGAATACAGAGGACCTTTGGTTGTCAGGTGGTTGTGGAATACAGAGGACCTTTGGTTGTCAGGTGATTGTGGAATACAGAGGACCTTTGAGAGTCAGATGACTACGCAATACAGAGGACCTTTGGTTGTCAGGTGATTGTGGAATACAGAGGACCTTAGATAGGTGATTGAGGAATACAGAGGACCTTTGGTAGGAGGTGATTTAGAATACAGAGGACCTTGTCAGGTGATTGTGGAATACAGAGGACCTTTGAGAGTCAGATGACTACGCAATACAGAGGACCTTTGGTTGTCAGGTGATTGAGGAATACAGAGGACCTTTGGTTGTCAAGTGATTGTGGAATACAGAGGACCTTTGGTTGTCAGGTGATTGTGGAATACAGAGGACCTTTGGTTGTCAGGTGATTGTGGAATACAGAGGACCTTTGGTTGTCAGGTGATTGAGGAATACAGAGGACCTTTGGTTGTCAGGTGATTGTGGAATACAGAGGACCTTTGGTTGTCAGGTGATTGTGGAATACAGAGGACCTTTGGTTGTCAGGTGGTTGTGGAATACAGAGGACCTTTGGTTGTCAGGTGATTGAGGAATACAGAAGACCTTTGGTTGTCAGGTGATTGTGGAATACAGAGGGCCTTTGAGAGTCAGATGACTACGCAATACAGAGGACCTTTGGTAGGTTGGTGATTGTAGAGTACGGTGGACATTTGATTGTCAGGAGATTGTTAAATACAGAGGACCTTTGGTTGTCAGGTGACAATGGAATAGAGAGGACCTTTGGTTGTTAGGTGATTATGTAATTCAAAGGACCTTTGGTTGTCAGGTGATTATAGAATATAGCGGTCCTTTGGTCATCAGGTGATAATGGAATACTAAGGACAAAAGTTTGTCTGATTATTAAGAACATGAGTGCATTAATTTACAGATCTAAGAAATACTTGAGAAGTGAGTCCCAAGTTCCTGTGACAAGTTTCACAGACCAAGAGTGCACACCTCTTTTTTTCCTTCCTGGCCTTACAGCAAAGATGTTAGATTTGAGGCAGTCATACCTAAATGGTCCAGTTCTAAACCCTTAAACAACTGACATTAGAATTTTAGTATAATTTTTGTTGCTCACAAAGATTTCAGCCTTTACAAAATATTTTGCATTGTTACAATATTTTGAACAAATTCTCTCAGTATGATCAAGTAAAAAATAACAAGAAACTTACATGACACATGCCATTTATACAGATAAGCTGATGACCTCAATACTTATCTTGCCTCACACATAAATGTCGTTTTCTGATTGGCTGAGCGCTCTTCTATTATTTTCAATGTACCCCGCTTACAAGCGAGTAACATTTTCTATGTACCCTTCGTAGTAATAATTCTTTATCTCGAATAACATTGAATCGCGTATGATATACAGAAATTACCCGATATTTTGCGAATGCAAATCGATGGAAGGGAGATAACTCTACATTTGTTTTTCTTGTCCTCCATACTATGATCCGATACCCGTTCTTCAAACTGTTCAAAATTACCATTGAGGTGTTCGGTAAGACAAAATACGTTGTTCACTGGTCCCTCGGGGCCCATGGGTTGATGAACCCCTCGAGACCAGTGAACAACTTATAATATTCAACACATACATATACTTATACATATTCACATATGCAACCAATTAAGAAGCTATAAACAATCATGTGTTTGGGTCTAAGGTGGTCTAAAGAATACAAAAGATTGTTTAATAAACTGCAATTCACATGACATTTATGAAAACACTACCAAACAGTCTGAGACTAATTTTTTAAAAATAAACAAGCATTGTCACTAACGTCACATAATCCCTCACCGCAAATTATCAAATCAAACTTAAAGTAATGAAAGTTTAAGATGAAGCTAAATGTCAACGATAACATGACCAGTCAACCTCTCTTGATATCTTGCTCTTTAGTTGTTCAAACACACAAATATTTTCAAGACTGACTTTGACCTTGACATAAATGTCATAGTGTATGAAATATGCAAAAATGGTACTGAAGAATTGCTTATTGAAAAACATTCAAGGGAAGTCTTGAAAGTCTATGAAGAAAATCCAGTGAATTCAGGTTAACATGCTGAAATCTTCAAAGTGTCGCTTTGACCTTGAAAATTAAGTGAAGGTCACCAAAATCGACTTGGCCCTGCGCCTTCCCTAGATAAAGCTTGGTGTTAAATATGAAGAAAATCCAGTGAATGGTTCTTGGGGTATCTCGCTGACAAGCATAACCTGCAGGTTAATATGCTGAAATCTCCAAAGTGTCGCCATGACCATGAAAATTATGAGAAGGTCACCAAAATCGACTGGGCCCTGCGCCTTCCCTAGATAAAGCTTGGTGTTAAATATGAAAATCTAGTACACAGTTCTTGAGATATCTCGCTGACAAGAGTAAAACGTTAAAGTCCCCTTGTGACCTTGAAATTAAGGTCAAGGTCACCAAACCTGACTGGGACCTTTCTTATACTGTGATGAACCTAGGTACCAAATATGAAAAGAATCTAGTCAACGGTTCTTAAGATATTCCAATTCGTATGGACGGACGAACGGACGGAGCGTAATACTATATCCGCCGCTTCTCGCTACACGTGCGGCGGGGGATAATGAGTGGTGCGGTAGCCTAGTGGTTAAAGCGTTCGCTTGTCAGAGCGAAGATTTGACTTCCCACATAGGTACAATGTGTGAAGCCCATTTCTGGTGTCACCTGCCATAATATTGCTGGAATACTGCAAAAAAAATTTAAGAAAATGAATTTGTTTCTGGTTTCCATGGAAATAAATTTGACTTTGTTTCTGTTCATAGTGGTGTGTTTGTCAGGGCCATATCTGGAAAGAGTACTAGGTATTCTTTCATGAAACTGTACTCAAACAAGAACCAGGTTGTCATCTGATGCCTTTTGCTTTTAGGGATTTCTAAAACTTGTGTTTCGTGTTTGAATTTGATATTGATGTGTACCTGACATAGAAGTACAAAGATACACATTGTAAATAATGAAAGCGAGGTATCATAACTAGAGCCTCATATTTCAAAGCACAGTTACTGTAATCGTACATATTTTCACGGGGTGCAATTTTCGCAGAAAGTTCACAAAAGACCTGTTAGTGCAGTTGTTTCTTCGTGCATTTGTGATCGCTAATACTAGTATATATGCCTCCATTCCTTTATATATTGTTTTGATGTTGCTATCTGAGAGAATAAACAAATTGTCATGAGTATTTGTCATTACTTGACCATGAACATTTCGCTTGGTATGATTATTGATGCACGATCTTTTTGCACTAAAAGCGCAAAAATTAATCTCACACGAAAATAACTACGGTTACAGTAGTTTATTGCCTCAACTAAGGCATGTGTTTGGACATAATACTTCCATAATATGTGTAGAATCATCCATCAGAAAGTGATTCATCTGACACTTGTTTTAAAGTACAATGTATTGAGATATCTATAGATATGAATGAAGTTTAACCCATCACTCCACTTACGACTGTACATCAAACTCCAGATCTCAACATTGAGAACTGCTTATGTGAGAGCAACCAGACTCCTTAAAACTGATCTAAATATTTACAAGTAATATGGTAAGGTCTGTTGACAGAATCCAAAACCTCAAATTTCATAAACTGACAGAATCAAGACGTATGTACAAACATGTTTTATTCTGAATAAGTTCACAGAATGCAAACACAAAATGATCCTTCAGAAAAACTGAAAGACTAGGTTTATTTCCCGTGGTAGTCAATGCCATACTGCAGAGCCTATGCAAGAGACTTTCTCAGTCTTGCGAAATCATCCAACGATACTCCCAGCATACATAGCTAAATGAATATGACAGTTTTTACAAAAACATTCTGGGAATAGGCCTGAAAGTTTTTTTCAGCTCCCTCTCAGATTCCTCCGTCAAACATTTCCACATTCCATGAAAGGCAGCATGTATAGCTGTCTCCAAGTATCAGGCAAAGTCATAGAGATATCGCGTTACCTCAAAGCTGACTGTCCTGTAAAATATAAACCAAAAAAAACAACTTTGAAAGCAGGCAGAAAGGACATTGGCATAAAACAACAGAAAATATCTGTAAATGTTAACATGGATGGCAAAGAACAATTATTTCACAAAGTGAGAAATATTGATGCTGAGTGTTGCCTTGCGGTACTTAACTCTGTACCAAAACTAATTGGGTGCTGTGGAAACTGATTGGCTACTAAAGCATCTCTTTTGCGTTTAAGTTTCCAAAGATAAAATATGACCCGTGAAGATCTGGGTTAGAACTGGTCTTCATGCTTGTCGTAAAACTGGACGTCGATCACTGGACTGTCTGGTCCAGACGCGATTATTTACAAACCGCTGCCATATAGCTGGGATGTTGCTGAGTGTGGCTTTAAACACCAACCCAACCAACCAACCAAAAGTAAAATATAATCAGGCCACACCTACTAACAGACTACTGTTTCTGACTGGCTGATATAGAACTGGTCTTGTAGTGCTTTATTGAGCTGAATGATGACATTTAGCATTGTCTACAGATTCCATGTGTATAGGTTTACATAAGTAAGAAGTTTGTGAAATTATTAATGTTAAAATATTCACTGATAAAAAATGATTTTAAGAAGTGTTTGCTTTGAGGATTTACACAATGTGGACACTGTGGACACATAAATGACAAAATACTGTGTCAATTCTAAAAAGAATGGTGAATGCCAAGTCAAAGAGCAAGTGAGTGAATGAGTATGGTTTAACGCCACTTTCAGCAATATTCCAGCAATATCACGGCAGGGGACACCAGAAATGGGCTTCACACAATGTGTCCATGTGGGAAATCAAACCCGGGTCTTCGGCGTGACGAGCAACGCTTTAACCACTGGGCTATCCCCCCGCTCTGCCAAGTTAAAGAGCTGAAAAATTCCATTTGACTTCTGTGACAAGCATAAAGCAGTTGGGACCCCTTCTGAATATTGTACTAGCAGATCACTAAAATTCAATTATGATAACTTTCATCAACAAGTCAGGAAGTCTGAGAACCCAATCATGTTTGTCACCTCTTATGGCAAGCATGGGTTGCAGAAGGCCAATTCCAATCCCCAACAAGAACTCATTCAGCTACAATGACATAAACAGTACCCTGTGATGTTCATCACCTTCAAGACCAAACCCTACTTTTAAGGAACACTTCCACAAAGACTTTTCCTTTTCCCTTCATTAATGTTACCTGGCAACAGACTTGATGAAGTCCAGTGAGACCAGACACTTGTATCGGGGCATATCAATCTGGTCCTCACCTGCTGCTGGCCCAAGGAGGTGAAGGCTGACAAGGGAGGTAATCTGACAAGAAATGGAATAACCTCTCAGTTGTTGAAGTAATGAATAGCCTACTGAAACACTGTAAACCTCTGTGTAGTGAGGGTTAGAATTCAGTATGACAGTGGTCTTGAAATAATCAAGTCTGTTTGGTATGACATTGGTCTGTATCAAGTTTGCACCAGACACACAAGGTATTGACATATTAAAACATAGGTTGTGCTGACACAAAATCAAGTAAGTCTATCTGATCCATTTTGTCACTTCTTACAATATTTTGGAGACCCAGCACTATTGCAGCTCTGTGACTGTGGTCTGTGCCAAGTACTACCAGTCAGGGTACAATGACTCGTAATGAACAAAGTCACTGAGTCTGACCTCTACATCGTGTCGCTGGTTATAACCATCACTGCCTGCTTGAGCTATTCTCAATGTGGATCCACTGCTGGTCTGCTGTACCTACCTGGGAGTATATGATTGCAGTTGGGGCAACCTTGCCTTCCACAATGGAGTAGAATATAGCCAGGAGTCGGTCCAGGGGGAAAAGGTTTGGGGCCAAGTAAGTGGTTACTTGCCTGAAATACAATACATCATATGTGAGGTGAAAGTATCTTAATCACTGCTTTCAAGATAACTGGATTCATACACAGCGACATGCAAGCATGGGTCTGCGTCGCTGCCTGTGAGGTGAGGTGAAAGTGGGTTTAACGTCGTGCTTGAGAATATTTCGCTCATATGACAACGTGTGTATGTGTATGTGTGGCTGCTTGTACTAGCCCAGACTAAGCTGGTTTTATAGTACTAGACTACTGACATACCTTGCCACAGTTTAATATCTATACCCCATCGAGACACGACACAAAGCATACAGAGCCAAAAAGTCACTGTTTTAATCCCTTAATTGCCCAGCAGGGTAATACAACTTCCATCTTTTACCTCTGGTATGACACAGCCATGGGATTGAACCACTGACCTTTCACCCCCGTATGTAAGAGGGTCCTAAATTTCAGTGTAATACTTATTTTGTCAGCCAACATCAACAGGTCATTTCATTTACTACTGGTTAGAGTTTGCTTGTTGTTAAACGCCACACTTAGCAACATTCCTGCTGTCTGTAAATAATCAAGTTCGGACCAGACAATCAAGTGATCAAAAGAATGAGTATCGACCTACACAATTAGGACATTGGTTAGTGCCACAAGATAAGACATGCATGGACAAATTACAGATATTCTGCTCCCGAAGTGTGCAAAGACTCAGTGATGCGGTTTGTCTTTAAATGACAGACTTGGTCCCTGAGTCACTTCTCACAACAAGCACGGGATGCTGAAAGCATTTACATCAATTAAGATGCTGATCAGTTAAAATGACATCACATCACATATGATACAAGTGAGCGAGTGAGTAAGTGAGTATGTTTTTACGTCGCCCTTAGCAATATTCCAGCAATATCATAGCAGGGGACACCAGAAATGGGCTTCACGCATTGCAACCATGTGGGGAATTGAACCTGGGTCTTCGGCATGATGAGCAAACACTTAAGCCACTAGGCTACCCCACCGCCCCAATATGATATAAGGACATCATGAACTGGTAATATTACATGAGGAAAATAGACTGACAGTCTTCACTTTTTTTGTCTTAAATTACAAAAAGAAATCTGACATCCAAAACTACAATACAGATTCCTTGCCCATCATGAATGGATCTCTAAGTTCCTCCCCAAAGGCAAGGTGTTTACACTAGTGGTGTTCCGATTAATTGAAATAATCAAAGACTGGTCTCAGTGAGTGAATGAGTGAGTTAAAATTGAACGTCAGCCATATCGTGACGAGAACAGTTTATATCAATATTCAAATCAATAAATGTATAACGTAAAAACCTGTCATCGTAGGACAGTAACAATACTAGAGTATCACAGCTATATAAATTCAAAACTAGTACGCTATCGTAAAATTAAATCACTATAGACAGTACAAAATAAAATAAAGGTTGCAGTGACCAAACGACCAAGCAATCGATCACACTTTCTCATAATCGAACATAAACGATTTTGGAACTACTGTTTTAGTCTTTGAAATACTTGACAATGGAACAGATTGTAGAAGTTGTCAGGGCCTGAAAACGTGTTTAATTCTTAGAAAACTCACCTCACTAACTGAAAAGCCATGACTGAATATATTTTTTGAAGACTCCGGGAAGGTTATGTTCATGATATATTAGTCATCACTTTAAAGTAGCAAGTTGCATCATGTTATACATATCTGCAATAACAACCTGAATAGGAAAATCTGAAAAATTACGCTAACCATTTTTTTTCGATGATTGTTCGTTTGTAATGAAGCAATCATCAATTGTGAGATTTCAACCAATTCCCAACACTAGTTTACACCATGCACCATTCATAGCAACAGATAATAATCCTGAGCTGATTGCTTGGTTTCTGACTCTGTGATAAACAAGCACTTCAGAGTCAGGAGCTATACTGCTCTTGGGGTAAGCAGGCAAGCTTCGGGACTGACGGGGTGAAGCACTGGAATAGTAATAGTAATCTAACAAGATATTTTCTCCTGATAGTAGCTCACATGATAAACATGCTCTTTCCACAACATCTCAGTCAGGAGAAATATGATATATCTGCAGTCTACACTGATTATAACGCCGAGAACATTTGTGCCACTATAACCTGGGAAGGCAAATCTGTGATCAGTGAAAATATTTCATACAGCAAGGAATGAGTTTCATCAATCAGTTACGCCAATCAGGAATGAAACATTGTCAGTGAGAAAGCCCATAGGGTTAACTATTGATAATGTTAACTGATGAATAAAAACTCATTAATTACACACTACTTATTTAGCTGATTTGCCAAATTGACCTTTTGACATAGAAATTGGCACTATAACCAAGGAATGGGAACATATGTTCTGAAAACGGTTGTGGCATTCAATGGGTGAAGATACATTCTGGGATATTATGGCACTATAACCAGGTCTACATTACAGCCTGGGGCATTATTAGCGGGTTGCACTGTACTTACTCTCTCATGCTTCCTGGCTTTAGCAGTCTGTGGTTTTGTAGGCGTCTTCGCTGTATGCTGGAAACACAAGGTAGCAGTGTACAGCAAGAGTTACCTCCCTTATTCTTATACAAAATTTCTGTAAAGGTATTTTACTGTTTCCTGTGTATCAGGATATCAGAATAAACAATATATCAGTTATATCATGGATACCACCTTCAAGGGTGGGGAAATCCTGGATGACAGAGCAAACAATACCTTGACAAAGAACCTGCGGTCTGACTTGACTGGGTTGTATGAGGCGAGGTACGCAGCCATCAGCAGGTACTTGGAGTAGTAAGGAAGTTCTACATGTGATCGAGATGCTGGAACTGGATTCAAGGAAATACTGTCATTGCATCAATCACATGTAATTCAACGCATATTCGCAAAAGTGTGAAAAATCCCCCCTAATTCTGAACTCTTATATCATGATAATAAAAGAATTCCATTTAACTTCACACATTAAGAATGCTCAGAGCACCATCAATGGTACTCTGTCATACAGACCCTAAAACAAATATATCCAAGAAAGTCCATGCAAGTACAGAATATGTGGCAAGTATAGATTCTCCAGAGTTTCTGAAAATGAAAAAAGTCTCAGGGCTCCTTTTAATTATATTTTATCATTTTTTATTGTGAACTTTTCTCTAATACATGTTCATTTCAGAGACTAGTTGTTAGTCTACGCCAACAGTACAATATTTATACTGACTATTATTAAATAATATTCCTGAAGCATTACATCTCGCACTTTCTAAGCTTGAAATGAGTGGATGAGCAAGTTGGTGGGTGGGTGAAGTAAGGGAATGAGTGAAGTAAGTGAGTGAGTGAGTGAGAGTGAGTGAGTGAGTGCATGTCAGCGTGGTGTGGGAGGAAAGCCTGATATATATTTCTCTGATGAGACCCATGAGATTATGGTGCTGCTAAACATGGAATAAGAGAAAAGTGAAAGTACTTACTGGGGTTTAAGGAGGCAGAGTCCTGTTCTTGTTGTAGTTTTTCCCACTGAGAGCTGAAACAAGAAACAATATAAAGGACACATTGAATAAGTGAGCAAACTGGGCTTAATACCCCTTTGAACATTATTCAGGAACGTTAAGACATCAGTTTAAACAGGGGACGTATAGATCGCTGGCTTTGTGTCCTGGCAATTAGGTGCTTTGAGACTGGGGGTTTGAATCCCGGATTGAAATGAACCTGACAAAAGAACTAGATTCTGTACTTTACTGAGCATGTGTAATACCAAATATAACATAAGTTACAATGCTTCATTACCTTGATATTTCTCTCAGGTATATGGTCTGCAGTGCCTTCTTCAAATGAGGTTCAATGTTCTTCCACAGCTTACGGAAGTCATTGACAGTCGCCTCTTCCTTTTCGATTGGCTCAATGTACTTGTTGAAGTTGAGCGATGCCTAAAGTAATGAAACAAGAATATGTGATTTGATAATACTGAATGTTTGGAGTTGTATTAAGTTATCCACTGACAATCCATAGAAGGTGTATCACTTTTGCATATTCTAGAGCAATATTATTTCATCAACTGCTTTCTAAAGTTGACAACAACCTGTACCATCTTACAGATTCTGTTAGAACACTGACCCCAGTCAACCTTCAGCACCCTTCCTTTCCTCTACACCACCATATAGCTGGAATATTACTGAGAGCGGTGTTGAACAACAAACCAACCAAGTTTCCTCTACACCAGAGAAAGTTCCTTACACAAGAAAAGGGCACTTGGGACTTGTGTATCTAATACTACCTTCCAGACATCTAACCTTGAGAGGACTAAGACTAATTTTTCTTAAAAACTGACCTCAAAGGGTTTCTGAAGCATGGCAATTTGCCATTAATACAATATTGAAGGTTAAACATTCAAAGGGAGATAATTCAGACTAACCAAGTGTCGGAGCTCCTTGAGATCTCGACAGACAAGGTGGAAGACGGACATGATGAGGTTGATGTAGTTGCCATACAACGCTGCAGGGTAGCCAGCAGGAGCGTCGAGACTCATGATCTCCAGGAGCTCATCTGATGAAACAATACAACAGTCAGGTATACAGGTGAGTCAATATAGTAGGGAGGTGTACAGGTGAGACAATACAACAGTCAGCTTTACAGGTGAGTCAATATAGTAGGGAGGTGAACAGGTGAGACAATACAACAGTCTTCAAGTTTGGTGAAGAAATAGTGAACGGTTTTCGAGTTCTGCTCCGGAAAAGAGCACTACCACCAATTTCAGGCTAAGTCAAACTTGTTGCCACGGAAAAGCCAAAAGTATTTTATTCAGAATTCCAAAACTACCAAAAGGCACCAGTACACCACCAGATCTATCTATGTGCCATGTTTGGTGAAGAAATAGTAAACGGTTTTAGAGTTCAGCTCCGGAAAAGAGCACTACCAACAATTTCAGTCTTTGTCAAACTTGTTGCCACAGAAACGCCAAAAATATTTTATTCACAATTCCAAAACTACCAAAAGGCACCAGTACACCACCAGACCAATCTATGTGACAAGTTTGGGGAAGAAATAGTGAACGGTTTTAGAGTTCTGCTCCGGAAAAGAGCACTACCACTAATTTCATTCTAAGTCGAACTTGTTGCCATGGAAACGCCAAAAATATTTTATTCACAATTCCAAAACTACCAAAAGGCACCAGTACACCACCAGATCTATCTATGTGCCAAGTTTGGTGAAGAAATATTGAATGGTTTTACAGTTCTGCTCCGGAAAAGACAAATGTGCACGGACGGATGGACTCACGGACGGAGTCCATTTTAATACCCCCCGCAAAACGCGTTGCGAGGGATAAAAACAGGTATATACATGATCTGGATCAACAAGCATAACAATCACATTTACAGGTGATATTAAAGAGCAATTAGGTATACAAGTGAGACAATGCATCAGCCAGTTATTCAGGTGAGATAATTCAGGAATCAGGTATAACAAGACAAAGTCATCAATATCCCCCACAACGGCAAAATACTCTTTATGAATATGTCTACTAATTATGATTATGCCAATGTTTTGGAGTGTATACAGCAAAGTGGAAGGAGAGTATTGAAAGGTTTTAAGATCTGCTCCAGAAAGAAGCACTATCACCAAATTCAGTTGAAGCCTAACTTGTTGCCATGGAAAATGCAACAAGATGACATCCTCATAGTCACAGCCTAAGTTATGTTTCCATGGAAACCACAAACGCGTCACGACCCCCTGAAGGAGGTATGGGACAGATGCCATAGTGGGGAATCTATTCTCACCAGCTCTCTTTGGAATTGGCTGATGGCGGTCTAATCATTCATATGGCATTGTGACGGGTTCTAATTGTTACAGCAATCAGGTATACTGGTGAGACAATACAACAGTCAGCTTTACAGGTGAGACAACAGAAAAAACAGGTATTTACCTGATAAAGGTGAGCAAACAGGTGAAATAATAGAGCAACAGGTGTACTTACTTTTACTATAGTCAGGAAAATGAAGAAGATAAGGTTCCGAGAATCCTGTACCGAATCTGAACTTTTCCCACACAATCTCACTCAGCATAATGGTGCACACGTTCGTGTTAGTCTGAAACACGACACTGATATCACACACCCATATCCTTTTAAACATGTTATACAACCCTCATTATGCAGTGCATTATAGGGCTGCACGGTATTACCGGTATATCGCAATACGCTTTTCAAACGATACATATTGCAAGATATTTTCTCAGAACTGGTATATTGGGTAAAGAACATAGATGATGTTTTGTGATTATCTTTATGGTTAAATTAAAATCTACACATACTTTGATTCATAACAGATGTTTTCCAGACTTGTTTGAGTCTCATATTATGACCTATCCTAACAAATTCATATTTCGTTTTTACAAATGATTTGCCTAACTAATTTCTGACTCAAGTTTAACTATAAAATGTGTTAGCCTACCAATATCCTTCGACATCTTGCTCTCATTGACTGGTTCACATTAGGACAGTGTGAGTTACATTAGTTTAATCTCTTCTTTAAACATATCCAGTAAAATCACAGCCTGCCAAATACTGAGAGAGGAAGTCATACAGGTCTTTGACAGTTACCCAGTAGTAGACAGAGTGAGGCTTCTGGACCAGGGTAATCTAAGGCTTCATTTAATAGATAAAGCCTTAGTTGGACCCTTACCATTACCATCTACTACAGAGCTTTATTTCATAAAATAAGACTTTTCAAGCAAAATGTCCCAAAGAAATGTATTCCCCAAGGGGTGTGCCTCTATCACCGCGAAGCTTGGTGGGATAACGAGGGTATCTTACCTCTATGTCGTGTTGGCCGGAGGTAGCATTGTGCCATCACGGTCACGATCAATAATTCTTCTCTCACAAACCCTCTGCGGGGCCATCCATTAAGTAGTATAAGTTAGGTTAAAATGCGGCTTTGATGTCAACTTTATCTATATTGTAAGTTTTGACCGACCATATAGGATCGGTGGCAGCTTCTGACTATCACCCTCATGTTCTCGGTTGGTATAGATACCTCACGCGAGCTTCGATTGAATTATCTGTTTCTCCTTCCCGCGTAAAGGTGCGGCCGACTCTGATATTATTGATTTTAATTTTATAAGCGTCTGCGGTTTCTTGCCAGTGAGTCGTGTGATTTCATGGTTGATTGCCGACACCACCTTAGGGAGCAGCAGCGACCCATTGATGTTGGGTTTATTTAGACTTATTTCCTGAGCGTGCTGATACCCAAATAAGCGCTCAGCCAAAGTCCTATTAAATCTCTCTACTATAAGCTTGACTGCGATGGGCTCCGGCAGTACCACGCCTAACCCTTGTATCGTGCTTAGCCAGCAACTGTGATACAACACCCATGAACTCCGACCAGGGTCAACTTGCAATACAGTAGGCCACGTTAGTGGACTGCGTTTATATATCGCGTTCAATGGCTTGAGCTACCTGGGCAGAATCTTTCGCGGTCAATGGTTCAGCTTCCTTATACCCGGCTGGCTACATCCACGATAGTCAGAGCATATTTGTAGGTTTCACGTCTCACCCTGTCATTGAGGTAGGAACAGCAGGTCTGCTTGGTGTGAGCGTTATTAGGTATATTAATACCAAACTTCCTTCTAGGTACATAGCGTGGTGGTGGTAAATATATCTGCCAAAGTGCTTGTTTTTCAAGCCATGTTTTGACCTCCTCCGGGGATACTTTCGAGTTATTTTAGCCAGCTTATCTACAGAAGCTAGCTCCTTTCCAATACCCAGCGGACTGTAGTAAATAGCCTCAAATTTTTTCTGGTTCCGTGACATGTCACCATTTATTTATACCTATGTTCTTGGTTCAATTTTCTCATGCCCGTGCAGCGTGCGTGTTTATCCCATCAATGGCTATCCAACGTTTAGTGTCCATAGGTGATAATGATGTTTTATTTATAGTCAACCCGTTATATCCTATGTCCATCACTTCTAAGTGTGTTCATTTTATGTTTAAAGGTACGGGTCTTGAACAGGGCTTCCTTGAATCTGGCGTGTTTGATGTGTTGTTTCACCACGTACTTCTTAACACCCTTAGCTTTCGGATCTCACCATTGTCGACCTTCAGTATGGGGTACATCTTAGGCCTCAATCCTATGTACTTTCGACTATGGGCGTGCCAGCACTTACCTCGTCCTTCATCTTACCTAGGACCTTTTTATTCACCATTACTGTGTATGGTATGGTCCTTAAGGATAGTCGCTCAGTGTCATTACAAATCGAGGTGTTTTTTCATGTCCTCATTACCGTCCTCGGTTGAATCTCCATCAGCAAGGAATCCGTGTCAGTATATATTACTTCACACCTGTCATCGTACTGTTTCTTCAGCTCGTTGTAGTAAAAGTCGTACATCAAGTGTTTGGATAAATCGGGGATGCTCATCCCAAAGCGTAAACAGGCGGTTTAATATTATGTGACTTTTCTTCATGTGTATGGCAGCCAGATTAGTTATCAGAATATCTTGCTTCACGGTTGAATGCAGGGTTAGCGATCAGCTTCCTGAGTTTTCCTCCTCATTCGACCGAACCAGCTTCCGTCCACAGCGTTTCCTAAGGTTCTCCATAGTCTTACCGAATACCCGAGTTGTTCATGAGCTTATACAAGTTTTCTCAAAGTCACTGGTGGCCAGCTTTCGGAGGTCCGTGTTCATTCTGATGTAAGGCTCCATCCAGGGGCTCTGATTGAACTCACCCTGAGCACCCTGTGTATTTTGGCCAGTTTCATACCCAGCGACAGGTACAGCTGCAGGGTTGCGATAGTGTCACGATGTATTTGGTCTTATTCATTAAGTTGGGCGCGAGTTTTTCAAGCGCCCGTCACCCGCCCTATCTAACAAGTTATGTTGGTATTCAGACATCCAGTCTGGGTTAACCCTCATACGTTCGGGGGCCAGGGGTAGCTGTTGTGTGATTCGTGTAATGCTTTCAGGATACTCCAAGTCAACCTCGAGGATATAACCTTTGTTGAATCGGTAGCGATGCTCATAATATAAATCGGATGATATCCATTTTGAATCCCCTGTTGGTAGATACTGACTCATGGCCCATCCATTTTACAAGGTTGTTGGCGTCGAGATAGGGAGAATGTGATTGGTTGGTTTGCTAGAGATTACGTAGTCATTCGCGTATTGATTATTTGCTTTTTAGCGTATCGGCTTGGTTGCCATGGAGATCCCACCTGCAAGCCTTTCTCAATGAACAGGTGCATGTCATAATCTGTAAGCAATTCCAACTTAATTCCGGTCTTTTTAAAGCAAGGCATCCCACGACAGACCTGGGCTGGTGTAATACCATGCTGGATCTAGTTTATACTGCTTGATACATGTCCTCCTAAATGTCTCAAACCGCATTGGCTAATAATGGTACATCCATCTTCAAGTACAGATCGTGATAGTCACCCAGGGTTTTACAACCAAGTTTATTCCATCACGTTAATGGCGTCAGTGATGTCGTCTTCGGATATTTCCGAGTCTGTCAGATTGCTGTAAAATTCTCTGATGGGGGAGGTAGTCTGGTCTCGGCGTGAACTTAGTCCAACTATCCATGTACTCATAGGGATACACACCCTTCCTCATAAGCAGAGATCTAGTCGGCGTCTGTGTATCGATCGGTGATAGGGAAGGTATCGTTGGCTTTTGATCAGGCTGGCTAATGGCGACAATAGAAATTGACCGCGAGTCAATGAACCTAAGTCCGTCTAAGCTGAAAGAGATATTTCTCCATGTTGTTGGGGATGCGTTATATTACCATCGATTTTTTTAGCGATGGCCTGCATGATTAAGTGAAAGTAGAGTCGTACCCTCTCAAGTTGTGAAAGACAAGCGGGAATGTTTATTGTTTTAGGGTTGATTCTAAGCTTGAGGTTACACTCGTTATGGCTGAGCCTCTATACTTACGGTTATGTGACAGTGATCTCTCACCGAATCACCGTTCAGTGGTGAGTCACCTGCGTGACAGTTAATGCTACGGGGTGGGAGCTAACCTGTCGGCTCGGGTCATGCATGGGGCGATTCTATGCAACTTTTTCCTAATAATTTCTTCTTCCTCCTTCAAACACTTTAGAAACCTTTCAACGTCGGGACCCTGTATACCGGAGATTTCGTTTTCACCGTCACAGCGGACGACTATGTATCAAACCCACATGCTTCATGCTCTTGTGTTTTGAAAGTGTGGATTTGGGGTATCCCCAACAACATTAGTGGATTTGACCAATGCTTCAAAGTCATTATATGATATAAAGAACGGACATTTGGTGCTTGTGGTTGTAGAATTTTAGGATATTGTCACCTTCCTCGGGCATGTCGATCGCGTATAGCCGTCTATCCCACACCTTGACAATACTCCTGGTGGGATTCTAATAAATCAGCTCGGCTGAAACCCGTTGCGAACATGCATACAAAAAGTGTTTCTTTTTCCTCTTGTGTTTTGACTGATCGGTACAACAACCGATTGAAATGTTTTTTATCCGCGTGTAGTGATACTTTTCACCTCGTTGGATCATGAATATATTGATAACACGTTTCCCCACCAGCAGAGCTGAGCCTGTGTATTATTGTTGTGTGCGTCTTAAGTGTCCAAAGACATTTTATAGCTAGATTATTCTGTTTTCTACTTTAGTGATCTGAGATATGGTGGTTGGTTCATCTATACCATCGAAGTTGAGTCCATCGTCTTGGGGATAGCTAGAGAAGCCTGTCTGAATGGAGTGTCAGCTGGAAACAAAGCTGATCTGATGATAGCTAATCTCAAGCAATCGTTTCCTCTATTCTTAACGTTTACTATGGCATGTTTTTTTCTTATAGTATGGAGGTAAGTCTAGGTATGACCCGCCTTTGAGCGGCGTAGTTAGCTATGTCTAGATAGACAATATCGATTTTATCTACAGCCCACCCAGATCCCAAGTGTATTGTGTAGCGTTCTAGGTATTCCTGTATCTGCTGAAAACTAGTATCGATCGATGTGTTTTATAGTCTCTATCTGAGGTCGCGACCTCTTGTTTTTACCGAATGGAGTAAGGCTGAACGTATTCGGTGACATCCCCTACGTTCTTTTCGAG